TTTTAATTCTTTTCTTGGATTCACCTTTGGAGAGTTAAGGGGAGGCAGCCTCAGAAGAGCTGAATGCAGAAAAACAAATTTAAATCTTCCAGGCTGTAAAGCTGCTGTGCCTTTTGCCTCAGCCACTACAATAGAAGAACCATAAACTGCAATATTCTTTGTTGTTAAAATACAAATATTAATGAATGCAGAGTCTCAGTCTTAGATGATATAGAATACTTGAGATTTCAAGGGTTTTTTTCACTGGGCAGCCAGCAGGGGAAAATTCTGGATCTATGTTAGGCTTGGCAGAACCTTCCAGCAACCTGGTATCAACAAGGTATCAGAAACTTTTTGTCTGTTCAAATATCCAGAACATTCATGATGTACTTGGAAAAACTCAGAAGGAATGAAATGTGTGTCTGATTACAGATTAGATTATACAAAAAATATAAAAATATGGACAAGCAGTCTTGGTAGCTAGAGATCTGCTCTTTCTTTAAAGGCCTTTCTATTTCTTTTCCAACAGAGCCAGCCCAATAAAAGCTTCCCCTAATGCACAATCATGTCAGGAGAGTTCGGTTCATTACTGGAAGATGTCTCTGTGTGTGCTGTCACCCACAGATTTTGCAGTGCTGCCTTGGAGTCATTCATAATGATAAGGTATTCCCAAAATCATCTGATGCCTGAAAATTATTTCTGTATCTTTAAGACCCAGCAGTTGGGAACCTTGGCTGGGGGAAGATGGCTTTTGCACAGTGTTTTTAAAAAAGCCCACCCAGGCTCTGGCTCCCTTACAGCTGAGGACAGGGTGTTTTTGTTTTGCTGGTAGTTCACTTGGTGCTGAGGTAAAGGTTTCTTTTACCTTTTTTTCTTATTTTTTATTTTTTTTCTTTCCTTGTGGTTTGGTTTTGGTTTAGGATTTTTTGTCCATGGCTTGAAAAAAACTGCAGATCTTTGGGGTCTGCTTGAGGGTGAATTCTGCAGCTGGGAGGAGGACACTGGGAGTGACCCCAGCATAGCTGCCATGCTTTGACTACTGCTGCCAGGAGAAAGACGAGGGAAACAGAGAGCAATAAATAAAGTACATTTTTTCTGCTTACCACTTTGCAATCTTCCTCTTCAAATACTTCATATACTTAGAGAAGAAATGCAAAAGCCAAGTACTGACTGTCATTGTGTTATTTCAAGTTTTCACCAGTTCAGAGCAACAAACTCGGATCTTGTAGCTCAGGCACAAGGCCTTTGTGCACACTCTGCACAGCTCTGCCTAAATTTAAAATTCAGGATCCTTTGCTTCTTGGACCCTTTAGCTGCCTTGTTGCTGTGATAATTGTGAGCAAGAGGATGTGCTCACACCACTTATGTTATTTTAGCTTTAAAATTAACACATCTGTTGTATAATTTCTATGCATCCTTACACATAGCACTCTAAGGTAAACATCAAGGACGAAAAATTGGATTTTTCCATTATTTCCCATGTGCCATATTTTTGCATGGGAAAAACATAATGGTGGAAGAGATCATGTTTTAATTCAAAATCTTAACTGAGACATGAATAAGCAATTTGGGTACTGCCTGTTTTCCCCATTTACCTAGTGTTCAATGTAAAACACATTAAAAAATGAGAATGCATTTCCATCTTCTGGGATGTGGAAAACATCATGATACGCGAAGTCCACAGTACTTTGGCCATGATAGTATCTTGGTGAGACTGTGTCTCTCTAACTGTAAGCACAGCAGCTTCACCTGGTGAGCAGCAGTGCCCATTAAAATGATGGCCTGTGCAAATTGATCACAATATTTAGAAAAGAGCATTCAGCTGATCAGTTGCAGCATTTTGACTTTGCTATAATTGTCTTCTTAAGAAGACTTAAAGTGACTACAAAGTCAAATTTCTGTATGTCTGTTTGAAGCTGTACAGTCATGTTTTGAAAACTCTTTCAAGGGAATTACCGCTTGCAGATTTCTGTTGTGACATGCTAATGTTTTGCTGTCACACCTGTCCATGGCAGGGGGGGGTTGGAGTAAGTGAGATTTAAAGGTCCCTTCCAATCTAGGCCATTCTATGGTTCCATATACCACCCCTATTATTTGGTAGAAGGTAAACCCAGTTAGTATTCCACTCCCAGATCTCCTGTGAATTTTGGTACAAAAGCAAAGCAAATCCACATCTTTTGATACATTCCAGTATGAGTTTGGCATTTGGAAGAATAACCTGGTGGCAGCAAAACCTGCTCCAATACTGAGGTTCAAACTCTGTTTTGGGATCAAAATAGCCTTGTACACCTCAGATCCATGAAGCCCTCATAGCTTGGTGACAGGGAAAATGTGCACCTGAGGTTGAGGTTCACAGGATACACTTGATGATGACTCTAATTATTCACAAGAATGTGGTGCAGAATGCCTTAGGGAGCAGTAATAGGACAAAGCCTTGGATTTGGGGGAACCTTGTATAGGTCCAGCCTAGGGCAATAGTCCCTTGAAGCTATTACTATCTCCATGCTAATTTGTGGAAGGAATTAGAATCCTTATAAGAGGTTGCTAGCAGATAGCTATCTTTGTCTAGTGGCCCTCTAGACACTGTATGAATTTGTACTGCCAGTGCCTGACCATCCTCACAGCAAAGAATTTTTTACTCATATCAGTCTAGTTATAGGTTTTAAATACTAAGTATATAAAAGCTTTGGATGGAAGCAGGCATTCTTAAAACTCTACAAGTGAGCATTCATTAACCACCTAGCAATCTGAGCAGATGACAATCTCTGTTGTGAGGTGCCTCAGGGAGGCAAAGATTTAGTATCAGATAAGCATTGTTAAAGTGAGAGGCATGGCTGTAAGCCAAGCTAGTATGAATTTTGACCTCCTGCTTTGGAGGATAAGCAGTGTGAGTCCTGGATGAAATTATTCCACCCCAGACCTCTTGGGAGGAGTGGCCCAGGAGTTCTGATTGGGTTTGAGTCCCTGGGGGCTTCTCCCTTGTTGTGTTTCTAGTGGTCCCTAACCCTAAGCTCCACACTCATAGGTAGAGACCTTCAAGGGTTCTGTCCCTCAAAACCCCTCACCCTGCCTTTTCTCAGAGCTTTCTGTTTCTGGATCTGAGTTTGTTCCCATGCTGAAAAAACGGTTTCATGAACAGAGGCCCGTCCAATTGGTATTCCATGCTGGGTCCCTGTAACTGTAACTTCCCTAGACATGATCCTGCAGTTGTGGACTGCAACAAATCTCCATGTTAGTATGTGATAGCTTATTACCATTGGAGCACATTCTGAAAAGCAGTGATGTCCTCCTCTTCCCAGGAGCATCACACACAGCCTGTGTGCTCTTGGCTGAGCAGAGGCAGTGATGGGTGGCTGATGGGGAGCCAACAATTTTGCCATGTATTGTCACATGTTGCTCAGACCACATCTCCTGTGATGTGTCACAGTGAGTGATGAAAGTGTCTGCCACTGACAAACCTTAAGTTTTCCCTGCTACCTTCCCCGTAGCTGCAGGTGCAGTGTGGTGCTCTGCAGCTCAAACAGCACTACCACAGCTGCTCCATGCCTGATGTCCATGCACCTGTCAACAGTGTCAAAGACATTGTCTTGGGGACCCTTGCAGTCCCTCCACAATGCTGAGACTCCACCAGATTGAGATTGACCCGTTTTAAAGGGGAAATACTCTGAATTCTTCTACTCTGATCCTGCATAATGTGGCTCTTGAAAGGAAGAGAGGTTTTCACAGAAGGTAGTTCTGCCAAATTTATTTCCAAACCAAATATTTTTGGGGAGGGATAGAGAGATTCTCATCTTTTTAACAAGGGCCTATTACAATAGGAAAAGGGGTAATGGTTTTAAATTAAAAGAGGGTAAATTTATATTTTGTATTAGGAAAAATTCCTGCCTGTGGGGAGGGTGGCTCAAGTCAACCGTTCAAGACAAACAGTTTCTGATGTTTGTCTCTGAATATGAATAACCACGGGTATTTCATCTCTTGATACTAAATTTATCAGGAACAGATCTTAAACCCTTTCCTGTTGACACATCATTTCACTCAGTCACCCAGCAAGCAGCTTTTGGAGGGGTACTCCATCCTCAAGAATGCTCTGGAGCAAGTCCAGACCTGTCCTATAGCTGGGAAAAAGGTTTCTATGGTGCTCAGATTGTGTGCTCTGCTCTTCTGTGGTGACAAATCCTGGTGCAGCCACAGTTGGATAGGAGTGAACCTGATGGACAAGGGCAGCCTGGGCACACTGAAGAGACTGCAGTTAGTGCAGGTTGCTGCTGTTGTTCTCCTAGGATGTGGACGGGAAAAAGTCTGCAGACTTGCCAGGACATTGGGAAAATTGCTTCAAGGGGACAAAATCTGGGACCAACACTGGGGCTGCCAGCCCCCACAGACTTTCTCTGCCCTGGATCCCAAGCAACCTCTATTCCCCATCTCCCTCCTGGTCCAACTTCAGATCAGAGACAGTAGCAGTGACCTTCTCTCATTCTAACATATGAAGTTGGGATCCTGGGCACCTGAGGCTCATGGCAAGACTCCCAGAGCCTGGCCTCCTCCTGGTCTCCCTGCCTGGTTGTCTGGCATGGACCCTCCATGCTAGTAAACTGTTGGCCTCTGGGGAGCCACCTACTGCCTGCCGGCCTGGCACTTTTATCATGCACAGTAAGAGGAGACATAATCAATTCCCCTGTTGGCACTTTGCACTGAATACACACTTTTTCAGTCTGATAGCAGGACTAAATTAGTTATTTAGCAATGAGACCCTAATTTAAAGTGAGCAACTGCCCTGACAAGGATCATTGTTCAAGGCTGTCCCCACTTTGCTTTCAGATGAGAGGCCCACCAATCCATGGAAGGGGATAAATAGACAATTAGAAAATAGATATATTTTGTTAGTTCTACAAAGCTCCCTGGTGCTGTCAGGCTTACAATAAAGGGGGCTCTGGTAAATTGGTGGGCAATGAAAGCCAGCTGTACAGTCATCACTCCTACAGACACGAAGCCATATGTGGCCATTTACAGAACATCCCTGAAAATAGATGGAGCCAATAAGACCAGGGAGAACTAAAAATACTTTACAAAGTTGCCTGCTCTTCATTTAACAAGAATAAAATATCTAATGGCGTGTAATAGAAACCGTCAATCACTCCTGAGTAAAGAACAGGTTTAATACTCTACTTTTAACTATTAATGCAAGTTTTTATTCATCTGTAGTAAGTCAGCTATTAGTATCTACTGTGCGCAGCACAGTGATATTGTGCAAGGGCTCACAAAAGGCATGGGCCCAGCAGCACAGCTTCAAAGATATCCAGGTTCAAACATGGCAGGGGCGGGAGACACAGACATGAAAAAGAAAGAAGACCAAAGGTGAGAAATTTCCTCTTCAAAGATAATGAAATATCTGTGAGCACTTCCTAGCAAATATTCCATGCAAGCGAAATGACATTTCCTCTTTTTACTTATTTACTTTAACGCTTTCTAGGCAAAGACACATGTAAAAAAGACACAGATGTTAGGGAAAGTCCTTCAACTACCTGTTTACTACTGATTAGTATTTGTAGTGCTTTTGCTGGAGATAAGGATTAGGAAGTTGAAAACTCCTGACAGGTCTTCAGGTCTGCGAAGTGGGACTGTGGTGTGGAGCGCAGCACTGAATCTGGGCAACAATACATGGAAGTCAGGCATGAGGTGGAGCCAAGTCATACCACACATTTGCCTTCAAGGTGCCCGTGGCATATGCATACCACTGCTGAGTCATAACAGCTATTCTAAGAAATTCTTCATGGAAGCAATCAGCCAACCAAATGCCATGTTTCATCAAAATAAACTCAAATAATTTTGCCTCCTGTTGCCACTGCTATAAAAGAGAACAAAGCTGCTACAATTCTTGGAAACTGGTATTTAATAACCATGGAGCCATGGCCCCCTCACAAGATAAAAACATGCATCAGCAAGTCTGATGGCACTGGCTGTGCACGAGTGCTCAGACTCCATCCTAAAATGTTGGGGTTTTTACCTGCACTTAGAGATGGCATATGCTGCAAGGTGTCTACTCTTTTGCCTATTTTTAGTTGCTTCTACAGGACAAGAATTGTAATTTATTTTGCAGAATAGCAAATGTCACATCTTATGAGTACGCTGCTGTACAAAATGGGATATAGTAACTGGAGAAAAGTGACCTTCCATAATGGAAGTGTCCTATAGAACTAATAGAAAATGATAACCAATAGCTTTTACCAGATAATTATATCCCTCTTCTAGAACAGTTTTAAAAGCCAAGGACATCTCTATCCATAACACTGTGCACTTCAGGCTTGTTACGTGTATGCCTTTTGTTTTGGTTTTTTTCCCCTTTCTATTCCATTAGAACCAAATTAATTTAATCTCTGTCTAAAAAAATTCACATTGGTATTGTCAGGGATTCAGACACAAGGCTTAACCTTTTGACTGTGATTGACCAGCTCCTCCTTTCTGCATGTACCACAAGCTTAGAAGATTGCAGTCTTCCAAATCTAGCTTAATTGATCTGAAATCTATTATATTTTATTTTTATGGGGATTGCTGACTGAGTAACAAATACAGAATTCTTTATATATGTCACCAGACACACATGAATGCAGATTTCATATGTCCTCTACCAGTGTAGGGTGTCATCCTGAACTGAGGCCTCTTTTGTAAGGGCTTTTTGGTCTGCTTTTGAAAGATTTCAGCAGCTGCCTGTGGTAATAGTAGTAACTGAAGTGCATGCCTCCTCGTGCATAGTTATCCGTGTCAGAGCGGAATAATCATTTAGTTTCTTGGAACTTACAGAATACTTCTACACATCCACTGTTCTATGCCAATATACCTATCTGAAACAGAAAACAAGCCTCCATTTACCAGCAGAATGGGGAAAAAAAAATTAGTGCATTCACAGCATTGGGAAGAAATGGGATTCTTGCTTTGACAAGCTCAGCCAGAGGACAGAAATAATTTTACACCTAGACCTCCCTGAAAATGTCAGGGAGATCCAAATAAGGTCCAAATAAGGGCCAGAATAACAATACACAACACAGGTCAGCAGTCCCATTTTTCCAACATAGATATTTGTGCCCAGAAACACCAGACCTGGAGCTGCTTGGGTTCTGTCACAGATTTTCATGTTTTTCATGGCAGTTATCAGTACTCTGTTTTGAGAGGGAAAAAACACTGATTTCATAGAGCTACTAAATATTGCCCACATATACTTTCTGTCAGCAGACTCAGCTACCTACATCTACATCAGGGTTTTTCCATTGCCTTAGAAATTCCTCATACTTACTTCTCTGGTAGAAAATAGCACAAGTTCCTGTAAACTGATCCTCCCATAAAAATTTAGGGCAGAATCTCAGAATGCTGGGGGTTGGAAGGGACCATGGAGATCATCCACTCCAACTACTTGCTCAAGCAGAACCGCCAGGACTGTGCCCAGTTGGATTTTTGACATTACCAAAGATGGAGACTCCAGTGGGACAATGCTCAGTCACCTTCTCAGTGAAGAAGGGTTATCATAGTATGATACGGTAATAATAAAAATAATGACATTCAGAAGGAATCTCCTGTGCTTACAAGTGCCCATAGTCTCTGCTTCTGTCACTGGGAACCACTGAAGAGAGCCTGGCTTCCTCATCATCATTCCTTCCATCACTTACTTGCACACATGGATAGGATCCTCCTGAGTCTGCTCTTCTCCAAGCTGAATAGTCACAACTCTCTCAGCCCGTCCTCATAGGAGAGTCTTTGTGGCTGTGGGAGGACCAGCACTGGACACAATACTCCAGATGTGTCTTACCAGCACTGAGTATATGGAAAGCTCACCTACCTCAAGACTTCTGGAGACATTCTTGCCCAGGATGCCATTGCCTTCTTTGCTGATTCATGGTCAACTTCGTGTTCACCAGGACACTTAACATTATTTGTGCCATCTGCTCTCCAACTGGGTTTCAGGGTCATCCCTCCCCATGGTCAGCAGTTGGCTTTTCACTTTTTTGAACTTCATGAGGTTCTTCTCTGGCTTGCTGGCATCTAGTCAGAGAAAAAAAACAAAACCTCACAAGAGAAGGATTTAAGAGCTGGAGTTGCATTTGTAGTAGTCAGCTAAACTGAGGTATCACACTATGAGGATGAAGTCTTGATTTGCACAGAAAAATACACACTGAATGAGAGTGTAAATGCAGCCCCTTGCTGGGCTTGTAGTTTTATATGGTCTACGTGTATGTGCCCTGTCGTCCATTGGTGCCAAATGATAGCTGTAAGGAGAAGGATCATTTTTCAATCCTAAGACACCCAGAAAGGTTCCAGATCTTTGTCTTTCCCAACAACTGAAATGTCTGGAGAGGTGGGCTATCCCAAACAGACCATATCTCCCTATCAAGAGATTGGAGCTCAAATCCTCTTTGCTCTGCATACACCTCCTAGAACCAAAAGACCATTATACACCATTTGCATGGGCATAAACAGCAACATCTCTCACACCTTGGAGGCAGTGTTAGCCAACTGGTCAGGAGCAGACAATGCATGCAGAGAGGCTTGTTTTCCCTCGCTAAATGTTCAAAACCTTAGGGAAAATGCAAATCACTCATAACTTCAAAAGCAACAAGAGCCTGGCTGAGTCCCTTCATCAGAGGGCTCAATGCTGAGATTGGAGGAGTTGCATCTGAAGTGATATTCAGAGCTCTGGTTCCAGAAAATAGAACACAGTGCTTGCAATCCATGGGGACCGGTTTAGCACACTGCTGTTATATGGAATTGTACTAATTATTTACAAGGTGTATTCTTAAAGATCCCTTCTATGATTAAATTAACATAAAGTGTTTTAATACATTAAAATCACCAAAGGGGACGTATTTGCAAGGGATTTTTGTTTGTTTGTTTACCTTTAATAGAACAAATAAAAAGTAATTGCTTTTCAGGATGAGCTTGTAATGAGCTTGTGTTAATTTGTATGATTATGACTTTTTGATTAACCTTTTTTTTTCTTTTCTGTTCTGTACATAATAAGCAGGATCATCTACTCTTGTAACTTTATCATTTTAATAAACCTTGCCATGCCAGCAGCAACCCAGAGACCATTGTGACCTGCCCAAGACCACCTGAGCCCTACTTAACTGATTTAATGAATTTACCTTACACAATCCTTGAAAACAAGTTTAATCCAAGCTGTTTGATACACCAAAAACTCAGTGGACACCCTTTTTACATCTTGGTGGAGGAGGTGCCTAGGTGTGTGTGTGTTGTAAAAGTTCTTGGGGTTTTTTTTAAGAAGAAATTAGCTTTTTCTGTATGACCTTTGCTAAGGGAAACCATACACATGAAGAATAGATTAACTTCTCTCAAGAAAAGTGTGATGGATTGGCATTTAAGAAAACAGAGAGAAACACATAAGGAAGTTAAGGCTGCGAGAGGCTGATGGGAGTTTTTCTCCTGACCATTTCTGAGGATTGACGGTAGTTTTGACCATTGAAAAGTGAGATCAACCTGTGAACACTACCTTAAGACATAAGGCCGAGAATTTCTTTGTCTCTTTGTTTCTGGCTGTGAAAGGCAACAGAGCTCCAGCTGGCTTCCCGTCCCCTGCCCAGCCCATGCGGCCCGAGCAGGGGCTGGGCTGGGCCTGCCGCCGCTCCCGGCCGGGAGATGGGGCCTGGGGGGCTTCTCCCGGGCTCTGGCCAGGCCAGGCCAGGCCAGTCCCTGGCTCGGCTGCAGCTTTTGCCACTGCTGAGTTTCACCAGAGACTGCCAAGTAAGGAGAGAGAAAGCCATTGACCTGTGGCGGGCTGAGACAGAAACTACACTTTCCAGAGCAGACATGGAAAAATCTTCCATCGCAGACAGCTCCAGCCCCTGCTCCGGCAGAGATCACAGAACCATCTACAAAACCTGGGCAAGACTTTAACTCTTTCACTACCCAGATAAGACTTGCGAATTAATCCTTTTTTTTTGCAGAGAGTGAGAGGAAGAGAGAGAGTGATCAACAGGTAAAGAGACAACATAAACTATCAAAGACAGTAAAGAAAAGAATTAAGCTTCAGATGGAGAGAAAAATAAGGAGATACTTTAATAAGCTGAAATATTCTTCTGCTAAAACTACACAGATAGACAATAGTGTTCTGAAAAACTCCTTTAATTCATGAAAGAGTATTCTGGGGGGAATAGAGTATTTTCAAAGTGTAGATTTAAGTAAATGGTGAAATAGTTGTGATCTTATGTGATGCTGGAACAGAAATAGAGAAGTGAGAGTTGTTGAAAATTTGTGGCTTTAAGAAGCAAAGAGAAAACTTCTGTTTCCAGAGGGGCTCACAGAGACAGATGAAGAGAACTTTTGCCTTTAAATAACTCATCCTTAAAATTACACCCCTTGACTCATGACCTATAACACACCTCAGAGTGATGTGAAATGGGAGGAGAGAACTGATGACAGAGTTTTCTGTACAGCTGTCATGAGAAATAGAAAACCATAGGAAAATGGTTTTCTTGTGAAAAACTCCATAGATTAGCAGAAGAGAACTTCTTTTTCTCTACAAAGACTGATAAAGAGACTAGCAAAGTTGGGACTGTTTTAACCACCAAAGTTTTTTTGTCTCTGTGTTTTTTGTCTCTGTGTTGTCATGGGAACGAGATAATGGTTGGGTAGTGAGGAAAAAGGAGTTCTGGAAGTTTTATTCTGGTTTCTTATTCTTGTAGTTTTGTTAATAAACTTTCTTTATTCCTTTTAAGTTTTAAGCCTGTTTTGCTCTTGTTCTAATCCATATCTCACAGCAAGAAATAAGTAAGTTCTCTAGTGATTTTTTAGTTGCTGCTTTAAAACCACAACATTTATTTAATGCATTGGCTGAGAAACAAAATTGGCAAATCTAAACCACTACAGCATCTAAATAACAACTCATAACAATAATAAGTAATCTATTGCAATGGATTACAGTATCATTGAGTCACAGTCTCTCCTGTTGAGTCACAAGCCTTGGCAAAACACCCTCTTTGTCTGAACTTTCCAGAGAAGTCTAGATCTACTTAGTCTCAAGATCTGGTCACAGTCAGTGTCTAAAGTGTCTGATATGAGCAGGTTCCACTAGAAACATACAGGTTTACAGTTGGCCTTTCAGAATTCACACATCACAGGTATCCTGCTGGTTTTTGCTTTGCAGATTTTTTTCTGTAGGTGTGAACTGAACAGGATCCCAATGTTACAACTCTCTTTTATCCCACAACTTAAACAAAATTGAGTATCTATTACTATGCAATTAACTAAAAATGGATGCATTCCTAACTGCTGAGCTTTTATTTAAAAGAAAACCTGTATTATCCTGAACACTTGTATAAGGAGGCTGTAAAGTATTGCTGCACAGTGATACAGAGTTTAGAAGATTTGAATGCAGATCTCCATGTTTCAAAATGAAGATGCTGCTATCAACAGCAGGAAGCCACTTTACTGTTTCCCACTTTGTAACTCTGCTTTATCCTGGCTAAATTTCCCTTCGCCAGCACTCGAGGTCAACACATCCAGCAACTGAGTTACATTTTCACAGCTGGCTTGTGAAGCTGAAACCCTGAAAATAAACACTGGAGAAAGGCTGAATATCTTCCTCTGTTTCTTCCTTTCCCAGATAGCTATAGGTTTTCAAGACAACTGTGTCTGATGTGGAATTTCAAATTGCAAATGAAAATTTGATTTTCACAATTGCTATTTTAGAAGATAAATCTGACTTATTTATCTTTTAAGGAAAAAGGTTATTGCTTTTCCTTCTCAGGGCCAACTTTACCTAGTCATGTCAGTCCCTGTGCTTGCTTCCTATACTGCTCATCAGCCTCATGAAACCCCTTAAAACTTCCCTGGTGTTTCCTGAGCCCCATGAGTGTACTGTCTCTTGAGGACCTTCAGTGAGTTCAAATGTGGGGAATTCTTTCTCTGGCCAGATATTTGCAGGGACGTCCAGCTCCTGCACTCCAGGGAAAGGACAGGTAGAGGTCAAGAAAGGTTCCAGCCCTGGAGGTCCCAAACCTGCTACTGTACCTCAGCTTGCCAGTTCCACTGGCATTCACAAAATCAGAGAATCACTGGAAGTTTGAGGTGAAGTGACATTAAAGGTAATTTTGTCCAAATCCCCTGAAATGAACATCTCCTCTCCCACACATGTGAGTAAACTCCCTCCTGATGTAGGATAGACAGGTGTACGCACATGGTTTTATAAGCATGGTGACTTATATCACAAAATAAAGCTTTTGAAGATGTCCTTGCTTATTGCAAAGTGGTTGGAGTAGATGGCCACTTAAGGCTCCTTCCAACCCAAATGTTTTTTTTAATTCTGTGAATATTGCTTGGCATCAGCAGTGTGACACAGAAATTGTCTCCTGTAGGATATCTTGGGGTATTTAGTTTTCTTTACAGAGTTTCTTATGACTCATAATTCTTCCTTGGGATTGTGATGTATTCTGAAGGTTCAACCTCATCTTGCTGTTGAAGCCAACAGTTTGTCCAAGACAGATTTTTCTCTTTTTACCAGCAGATAAAAGGGAGAATTTTGTCCTAGAAAGGATGGTCATTAACTCACTTTTCTTGTATTGTCTTCAGGGAAAGTGGCAATCACTTTGGAAGACCCAAGCCTATATGAGGGGAGTGGACGGGGAGACTTGGAAAACTGAAATCTGTGAGAAGCAACCAAGGCTCTGGAGAGATTTTGGGATGTAATGAGGGAATGTAATGGGAAAGCAGACCAAGAGCATCCTTCACAGAAAGGCTTTGAGTGGGAGACAAAAGACCTAAGAGCAGCCACAAACTGAGATGGTGCAAGAGTTCTGGCAGAAACGAGGAACTGGTGGAACAGGCAGGGAGAAGGAGAAAGAAGGTGATACAGATAAGAAGGGCCACAAGACTGTGAAGCAGGCTGTGTGGAAGGAAGATTTGCTATGGTAGAAGAGTAGTACTGAGAGTAGAGAAAGGCCACAGCCTGCATCTCCAGGTCTGTGCCCAATTACGGTAGCTAATACCCCAAGAGCTAATACCAAGGACAAGACTTTGCAGCTATTATG